CCGCCGCTGCGGCTGCCGCCTCGATTTAATCGCCCTTCCTCGCCCTATGTCGAACCCGGCCGGCAGGAGCTCATCGCAGAGACGCCCGATGCCTCCTGGGGCGACATCGCGGAGCGGCTAGGGACGGGGCGCTCCGGCGCGGGCATTGACCAGCACTATCAGATCTTGATGGGCAAGCGGAAGTCGTACTACGTGAGCGCGAGCGACCGGCGGAACGCAGCCGACGCCGCGAACGCAGGTGCGGGCTACGAGACACATACCATGTCCGGTTTGCCACCATAGTTGCACTCCACTGCGCAGCACCGCCCACATCCACGGCGCGAGGACGTTTTGTCCACTGACGCGTCCACGATTGTGTGTGCAGCTCCGATTGCGGTCGCCATGGTCGACTCGGGCCCCGACCCCGCGAATGGCGACGAGGATATGTGTGTGAGAAGAGAGTTTTTTTGTTCCGATAAGCCGATACACGACACGATTAAAGATCCCATCCGTCGAAACGCGCCGCGCTCCCCATTCGCCACCGCTCACAGATGGGTGAGGGCCGCTTCCAGTTCATGGTCCTGCATTGGTGGAGCACCGCAACAGGTGTCAGGTGGCTGGTGAGCCGCTCAAATTCTTTTGGTTTTTCACAAAAGTACAACACATATAAGTCCGTTCCGGACATCAGGATTTAATCTGCGCTCCTTTTTCGCATGGACAAGTCTGCGGCTATGATAGTTCGCCAAAGCTCACACGCTGTTCCCTAGGCCCTGCCGGGGGCTGCTGTGTGCGAAACCCGGGCCGCGTCGCGCCGTTGGCGCTCCTCAGGAGTTGATCATGCGTAATCTGCGCTCGAGAGTAACTATCGTGATATCTCTGCCTTTTGTGCCCGGGCACCAACATGACATCATGCAGGATGCAGATGCAGAATGCAGAATGCAGAATCAGCTCCAAAGCTGTGAACTGCACCCGATGCAGGATGCAGATGCAGAATGCAGAATGCAGAATCGGGCCCAAAGCCGGATGCCTTAGCACCCGATGCAGAATGCAGGATGCGGATGCAGGATGCGGAATCGGGCTCAAAGCTGTGAGCTGCACCCGACGGACAAACTCTTTGGGTCTCACTGATTTTGCATCCTGCATTCTGCATCCTGCATCCTGCACCATGCAGAAGAATCCATTTTGGGGACGATTCTGCTTCCTGCATCCTGCATTCTGCATGCTGCACATACAGAGTAAACATTTTGGGCTGGGTTCTGCATTCTGCATTCTGCAACTGCATTCTGCATTTTCAGAGAAATACGGAATGTAGAATCAGCCCGTCTATGCAGAGGCAAACCCATGCGGGTGATGCTCCGATAAACCCGCCGGATCTTCGACAAAAGCAGGGACATTTCTTTTTTGGAAGGGTAGGTGTGAATACAGCTTTCTGGTAGGGTTACATCGACGAACTATGCGGCAATCGACTGGGGGGCAGCCCCCCAGCACATCCCGCACAGAGACCTGGATGTAACCCGATTGTGAGCGTGAGTGAAACCGCCGATGCGATTGCTCATTGCTCAGTCAGTGACCGACAGTCAGTCGCAGCAGACTTTGACGATTGGCGGCCTCGCGCCCTCAGTCGCCCTCCTCTACTAACGGCCCTGTCCCAGCCCAGATGCCTCATCCAGGGTGGTGCAACCACTCGCGCAGGGAGGGAGAGACAGTCGGCGATCTGCGCCGCGCAGATGAGCTCCGCCTCGTCTGCGTCGAGGACGTCCACCGCAGGGCTATCATAGCGCCATATGACGCACTGCCTGTTGTTCATTACTTCGCAGGTGCCAACGTCGAGGACAATCTCACTGGTGGCGGCTGCACCCGGCCGGCGGTAGGAGAGATGAAGGCTAATGTACTTGGCAGTGTACGGGGCCTTCCGGCGTGAACAGTGCCCCGGGACGAAAGAGGAGGCGACGTCTCTCTCGTCCACGAGCGCCTCGATGTGCGCATCGACGGTGTAACCAGCTTTGAGAGACGGGAACGAACGGCGGTGAATCGCCGACAGGTGCGCCTTCGTTCCTACCACCACTCCCACCACCGCCAGCTCCGCCGTGGACCTTGCCGGGCCCTCTGATGATGTAGTACCGTGGAGCAGTTCGTCCGAGCCGTTGTTGTACTCTGCTGTGGCGCCAGCTCGGTGTACAATACGGACGAAGACGGCCACAGCAACGGTGTAACCAGCGCGAGCAGGCAGCGCGAACCGCTGTGCCTCGGCGCGCCGGCCGCCGAAATCCTCTAATAAGAGTTCTTTGGCATAGGGGAACCCCAACCCTAAATTTTCTTCGCCTGCGGCGGGCCATCACTTGGATTCGCTGCTTTCGGATTCATTAGCTCTTTCGCACGCCTTTATCCGTCACTCCCCCGAAGATTGGAGGTGTTGATTTATGCACAAATCTATGTGTTGCGAGCGCTAGATGGCGAAATTTTCTTCGCCTCCGGCGGGGCCGCTCGCCGCGGGGCTAGAGAGGGACTTTTGTCGATGTCGGCTAGAAGTGCTGCACCTTTTTGAGAATTTCACCCTAGGTCATTAACGGGTGTCCGCGGCCCACTGTGCCCGCTGGTAGACAGTGACCGCCGCAAACCCTGTGTTCAGCTCCATGGAAATTTTTTGTAGGCACCGGAAAACGCAAACACAAACACAACAACAAACAACTCTCTCTCTCTCTCTCTCTCTCTCTCTCTCTCTCTCTCTCTCTCTCTCTCTCTCTCTCTCTCTCTCTCTCTCTCTCTCTCTCTCTCTCTCTCTCTCTCTCTCTCTCTCTCAAACACAATCTCTCTCCGGAACGCCAAAAAACTAGTATGT